TCACGAGCCTGGGGACGCGGCGAGGGGCATGTTGGGCGCTCGTGTGGGGCCGGTCCGCCCCTCCGTCGGCCTTCCCTCGGAAGCGGGCGTCCGCAAACGCTCCAATCTCTTTCTCTCCATTTCCACTCTCCCGCTCTTCCTTCATCGACGTCAACTAAGGCTCCAACCATTTCATTTATTTACTGTGTATAAACGGTTGTTTTCGTTTACCTTTCAATTTATTTACCCATTTTCCCGTAAACGGTCATAAACCAGTTGTACACAGTAAATAAATGGTTGCTGGTACCACCATACCAGCAAGGCCAAAGACCAGGAGACAAGGTATCAGAGGGCCATGTAGAGGGCAGGTCAAGGTCGTTGACCGTTGGTCGACTCCTGCCTTGCTTCTGCCTGATCAATTGGCATCGACGGGGCCCGGCAGCTGACTTTCCTGTTCGGGAGCTTACCTCACCTTTCGGCGCTTATCTCACTGAGACGAAGCTTGGGAGTGAGCTTGATACTCATTGGCCTCCCAGCGACGATCATTGGTAGCAAGAAGTGTTGTAAGTATACACTGATATGCAATGCTCCCAAATAGCCCTATGGAGTGTTTCTCGGAGTGGTCTGCAACCTCACCTGTGGAACCATTTGTTTACCCTTTTTAAACTGTTTTCAAACGTTTATATACCCTTTCCGTATATTTTACGGTTTGGGATAAACATAAAGTAAATGGTTGGAGCCTTAACGTCAACAATATGTATGAGTAAGTGCCTCTCGCGTTCCCGTGCGAGGGCTTTGCGCCGAACCTAGTGTAAATGTTTGTTAGCCCCAGGTCGTTGTGCTCGCCCTTTGAGTAGGGTATATTTGCTAGAGTTTGGGCCACGAAGGAGAGACTCGAAGATTGCCCGAGATCGCGCTCCACTTCTTCTCGAGTGAGTGCGCAAAAGGTCCTTGCACCCGCCGCATAGCCCAAATGTTGGTCCTTCATTGGCTGGTACTAAGATCATCGCCATTCCAGGAAGGTGGTCAGCTCTCCGCATACTCCACCTTTGCTCGAGATGCAGGCAATTGTATCTCGAGCGACGTGAAGATCGCCCAAGAAGTTTCGCCCTGGGCTCTCACAATCATACCCTAGTATGAAGAATGAGCGATCTGGTGCCTTCCAAAATACTGTAGTAACAGAGGACCAGACATCGCTCGAGTGTGCGTTTCATCCTCTACTGGCTACGCATGCGCGATCGGAAGGCCAGTACTGCCAGGACGTAGGCGCATATCCGAGCAGCATGAGAACTCGTATGTGCATCTACACCATCAGGAAATCCTTCCTGTCAAAATATGCATAGATCCCTCACAATTTCAAGAGAATGCGAAGCATTCCGCAGATTCCACAGATCCCCTGAATTCAGAAGAAGAAAAATTACTCCATGAAGACCAATGCGCTCTGTAGCATATTTCAGGAAATTGTAGAGAATGCATACCATTGCTTCGCCTTCGCTTTCCCAATGTCCCTAATACTCGGATATTGACACAGAATGGTATAAAATATAGAACCAAATGTATTCGTTGTCCCGACTACATGACCAATTACTACAGGCATGTATAACCGACATCGACAAGACATGACTTGAAACAACTCTAAGGCGACACTCTTCATCATTGGCATTGTCGCACTCTCCGATACGCCGCGACGTCGCTGACGGGGAGAGTATGGAGGAGATGGATGAGAGCGGGGAGGACGAGATGGCGGTTGCGATTGAGCGGAGCTTGGGAGAGGATGAGCAGGTGCGGTTCATGGGAAGGTGCGCGGGCTGAATCTGCTTGGGATGAGGTAGAGGTATGATGGGCGGAACGAGGGTGGACTTTGGTGAGTACCAGCGTTGACATCGATTGCGTCCTACCTTCTGGATTATTTGTGTCCTACAGGCAGTTCCTCCAACGGCTGTCCCATGTTCTCGTGCCTCGGCTGCCTGATCTTGCGACTCAGGAGCTCATGCTCAAGCTGTAGTTCACGTACGTGTACCTGGAGCTCCCTATTGTCCACAAGCGCGCCTTCATGGACAACTTCCGCAGCGGGAACATGTCCGCGGATTCACCCTACTCAGGGGCCAAGTCCATCTACGCGGACGCTGCGTCCCCATACAGGCTGTTGAGGCGGCACCTACCGACCCTTCCTCCTGCTCGCGGTGTTCTCCCTCACAGCGCGCTACTCCTCACAGACCGCGGCACCCACCAGACAACGGCTCGATATGGATCGCCAGCGACGAGTACATGGAGGATGCCAAGATGATTCTCGACCGCACCTATGCCACCCTGGGAAGCAGAGTTGCTGGTGATATTTACAGACTTACTGGCTTCCTCACTGCTCATCAGCTCCTTCAACACCTAGACCTATGGTGTATGAGGGACACCGTTCTACTCCTCCACAGCTTAGCAGTCTGTACAGGTTCCCAGGAACAAGGAATAGTGACGCTCTCTTCTCAGCCTGATAATATCATACGTACTTGATATGGATCCGATGCGATGAGGAGGCTGAGCGGTGATACCACCCAGCCCATTCATCTAAGGGTGAGGAACAGACTACAGATTGATGCGCATAATGAATTGGAGGAGGAAGAGGAGGGCGCAATAATCCCGATGCCGTGAACCAAGCTATCAATGCTGGGTGAAGTGGTGAGGGACAATCAGCCTAATGAGACAATCTGGCAAGGAGGACAAGTAGAGGGTAAGAGGGAAAGCCTCGTCGTGCAAGCTCGGTTATGAAGTTCAGGTGGCAACCAAGTACTGTGGAGTTGCGGGCGCCCAGTGGTCAGACGGTCAGCGCTGCAGCATGCACCACATTCGGTGGAGCGCCCAGAAGTTGCTGACGCGACATCATCATACCCACCCGCATCTCTCGCATTCTGGAAGCTTTTGAGATATCTCTGACGTTTCACGGTCATCTGAAGTGTTCTAACAGATTTAGTCACCATGCCCGGACATTTCGGCGGGAGGGTTTTCCTAATGACGCTCATGATATCTTGGGATTGACAGCAATGTTACACATAGTTGGGGCACCCGCTTGCCTATCGGAGTCTGCACCTTCCCTGACCGTGTGCGCTGTGTTAACAGTGTAACAAGCCACCTTCCCACCTTCCCCTTTGCGTCATGAGCGGTGAGAAGCATTTTACATGTTTGACTTCCAGCCGTCAATGACGAAGGCGTTCCGATTCTTCTCAAGCGATAGCCATTTGTGTGAGCTGAGTCACTCTAGACCGAATTTCCCCTGACTTACCCCCTTCTCTATCTCAGGACCTGATATTGAAGAAACTGATATTGTCGTTATTGTAGCGTTACCGGCATCATGGTAACCAGTGAGGCAGGTCCGACTCGAGCTTGGGTAGCTGAAAGCAAGGACTGTGTCTTGATTCAGTGCTGATATGACCTTGCTTATAACGACACGGTGACCTTGCATTTATTGAAGTCTGCTTGATACAGCGCTCTATCCACGTGGCGACTTCGCCTTCGCACTCATGTGGTATGGTGCGAACGCGCCCGCGCCCAAGAAGTTCACCGTTGAGCGTCGCCACGCCCTATCTAATTCCCCTTCAGACATCATACGGAACCAGTGCAGCCCTGCTAGAACCACACAGTACGGCCTTGCGTCGAATAGCCTAGATGCCCTCCCAGGGTATCTGAGTCAACAGGTACCCGCTAGACCACGAAGCGATGCCAACCATCCGTCCTGTCAAGTTTGAGTGTCCTTGGGCACCAGCCCTGTGCCCCAAGAGCTATTGTATACGCCGAGTAGGTCAAATATACCGGCTCTGTTGACAGCCCGGGCACGGTCCTTTCGCCGTGAATCAATAGACCGATGGCTTCCAGAGCCATGGCCAACAGTATCTTGCGATCCGTGTTGGCCTTGGCAAGCCTCTAGGTGCAACGCCCAGTTTGTGCGCCTGAAGAACCCCTGGACTACTTCTTTTGTGGGTGGTCTATTACTTTCCTGAGAAATCGTTGACCGAGACCACCCCTCATACATCAATGGTGAGCTATCGATGATCAACTCCATAAGTACCTGTGCAGCCCATTCGTAACCCTTGTCCTTGTCTACGACCCCCCTCGTTTCCCAGTTGCCCTCCTGTGTTCTTCCAGCTCAGGACCAGTTCGACGCTCCGCCGCGGCTCTCAGCCATGTCCTCAAGCAACCAGCCCACCGTAGTGATTGACGACGCCAATCTACACTACAACACATCGCGCGACGCTGCTCAGGCCACACCCCCTTCGAGCGCGGTCTCCGATTCGGTTGCCGGGGCGAAGACGTCCCCCTGGAACAACACGCTTGTTGTGGTCACTACTCCCACCAGCTTCTGGTACAATGTGACCGGTTCGTCAGCAGCCTTCCTCGCTTGATCACTAGACTGATCAGTCGCCCTTCAACCGATGACAGGCTACAGCAGAGTCGCCGTGTACGGAGCACTCATCCCGCCTACGAGCGTCGGCGTGACCGCATGGGCGAACTACACGATCGACGGCAACTACACCGCGGCGAACATAACCACCTCTGCGAAAATCATCACCGACTTCCCGCTGTTCACCTCCGTCGAGCTCGATCCCAACCAGCAGTATGACCTCACGGCGGACATCTGGGCGTCACCAGATGCTCCCTATCTGCTGGATTATGTGCTCGCGTTCTCGCCACCAAAGCCAGTGCCTGTCTCGACCTCTAGCACTACTTCCAGCACTAGCTCAAGCACTATGACGGCGAGCTCTACGGAATCTGCTAGGGCGACGTCCGCGGCGGATCTCAAGATACCACATCCTGTCGTATTTGTCGGAGCGTTGGCTGGAGTGTGCGCGCTGCTCCTTGCGCTGTTGCTCGTCACCTGCTGCTGCTGGTGCCGTGCTCGTAAATCTAAACCAAATAAGATCGGTGAGCATTGCTGCATCTCCCTGTTCTCATGCTCCAAGTCGATAACAATTTTCTGCTCCCGCAGAAGAGCCCGCTGCCCCCGAGCCTCCCTTCCCGCCTCGGCCCACCATGACCAAGAGCGCAACTCTGGTCTCGACAAAGGCATCTAGGAGAGGGGACTCGTTCTACGAGCCACCGCTGGCATCTTCTACGACTACGCTTGCCCGTGCGTCTACTCTCGCACTCGCATCGGTAGCTGAATCTGCGCCTCCCCCCGTTGCTGGGCCCGGGCCTACGCAGGCGCCCAGACCGCCAACGACATACGCCCCTGAAAATGTCCAATTCGCAGGTCCGGGAGCCTCGTATCATCGCTCTATGACGATGCCTACACAGCAAAATCTCCAGATGTCATCTCCAATGGTGCAGGAGATGCCCAGACAGGAAGGCCTGCAGCGGTCCGTGAGCCCATATCACCTTTTGCCGCACGCGGCCTCGAAGCCGCGCCTACACGTAGGGACCCGCATGCCCTCGGGAATGTCGAGTCCCCCAGCTATTCAACTCCCTACGCCGTTCGAACTCCCACCCGCTGGCGAGATCCTCACCCCGGAGTCGCCCTTGCACAATCCATATGACGACCTGTATGGGCATATGGACAATGCGCCCTCGGGCCCTGCTGTTACGCCGGAAGAGCGTACTTCTACCCCAACACGTTCACGATCTTCCTCAACGGCGCCCGCGCCCTCTGTCCTGCCCCTTCTCACGTCTACGCCTTCGTCCATGTCCGCATCCACGACAGCAGCTCCATCCACTAGTCAGGCTTCCACATCGACACCAGCCACATCGACACCAACCACAATAGGAACAAACACGTCAACCCCAGCCCCAGCAACATCCGCGCAGCCCGAGCTCAAAGCCAGTGCGTCTACCCCAGTACCCGTTCAAACCAATCTGGGTCCGAATGAATACCCTCCGGAGAAGAAAGAGATCCGCCTGGAGCCCCCACAAGCTTCCTCTTCCTCGCCCGACCACGAGCGCTTCGAGGACAGTCCTCCAGCGTACAGCTCCTAGTAGACTGATGCCCTGGCCCCCCAGCTACCTGCGCACCTTTTCAGGATGCAGGGACTTTCATGAGACTATGATTATTGATGACTATTGATCATCGACGTTACTTGCCATTCATAGTTTTAGACGACTTGTATCTACTACTCGGATGGAGCACAGGTTTGAAAATCTGGTACAAAGGTAGCCCTCGCACTAGGTTTCCCAACCAGTGCGCTGTGAAGTAGGGTGTGGTATCGCTGTGGATGTATACGTGAAGTATGGTCCGACAGGTCTGTTACGTTCCAAATTCAGGATGGTACAAGTGAATGAGAGCAAGCACCCCAGATATCAGTTGCATTGGGTATTTCGTACTACAGAGATACCAAGAGGTGACGTCCATTGCCTACATACAAGATACCGTCAATGGAGGACAAGGAGCGCATGTAGGTATACAGTCAAGAGAACATCAGAACATCTATCGCATGGAATACGCAAGGCGCGAGCTCAATCGTCGAGCCTAGCTAGAGCTTGGACTCGCGGAACTTCGCAAGCTGGAGTGGCTGGTCTTTGGAACAGCATATACATTAGCACATCTGAACTGGTATTGTTGAGACTGAGAGATACCCACATGTACTGTGGAACAGATTGTCCTCAGGCGTCATCACGAAATGTGATGACAGCGAGCTCGCGTCGACCATCTCAGGCACGACATCTTTGATGGTCCTGGCACCAAGCAGACGCATGTTCATCTCAAACTCGTCCTGTTCCCACAATGCATTCAGCAAAGCGGACCCTGACGTCCTCGGGCTTTTGAATGTCTAGGACTCACGCGGAAGATCTGGATAGCCTTCTCCACGCCCTCTTGCCCATAAGCACAGAACGCATACAAGAAGGGCCGACCGACACCGACAGCCGTTGCCCCCAGCGCGATTGCTTTGAGCACATCGCTGGCGCGGCGCACGCCTCCATCAACGTAGATCTCGAATTTCGGGTCGGGGTAGTAGCCACGCAGGCGGAGCGCCTTGACGACCTCTATGAGGACCTCGATGCCAGAGCGGGCGGTGTCTAGCTGCCTGCCGCCGTGGTTTGAGAGAACGATACCTTGCACGCCTGCTTCGTAAGCGAGAACAGCGTCCTCGGCACAGCCGATGCCCTTCAGGATGATAGGCACTGCGGAGAGGAGAATTCAGGACGAGCTCCCTGGGGATAAGGATTGCAGAACGTACTCTTCGTGATGCTCTGGAACCAGGGGATGTCCTTCCACGACAAGCTTGGGTCAATGAACGACTGCTCCGTCCCATCTCCAATCAGCGTCGAGCGCCTTTCTGCCAGTCATCCCCAGCTCTACTCACGCTGATGGCCCTTGCGACGCCCTGGTCCTTCTTGACCTCCTGCCCCTTCTGCACCTCCGCGCCTGCCCCGTCATCGACGAACTTCATCCTCATGTCCTTCTCACGGCGACCGAGCTGCGGCGCGTCCACAGTAATGAAGAGGCCCTTGACTCCGCGCTTCTCGGCGTGCTGTACATACTTGCGCGTGATCTCGCGGTCGCGATTCACGTAGAGCTGGAGGAAGAACGTCTGCCCAGGAGCGGCAGCGTTGATGATGTCGTCGAAGGAGCATGACGCAAGCGTCGCAATCTGCAAGTCCGGTCTCGTTTCAGCTCTTTGCCACTATGCATCGGTCACTTCGGTGGGGAAGAGAGAGCTCTACCATCTGGATGACGCCATGCTTCGCAGCAGCTCGCGTCAAGCACAGCTCGCCATCAGGGTGTCCGAGCTTGCCAAGTGCCGTCGCCGACTGTCGAGTGGGTGAGCATAGTATCGAACCTACGTGTGTGTGGATAACGTACGATGTAGACAGGTAGGCTGGACTTCTGACCCAAGATCGTCGTCGACCAGTCGACCGTCGAGACGTCGCGCAAGATCCGAGGACGGAACCACACCCTGTGTCGTCCGATCACGGCACATGGAATCAGCGGGTCTGATCTCATGCCAATGTCACCTCGCAGCGGACGGACGCACCTCTGATACGCCATACGGTTCTCCCGAATAGTGATCTCGTCATCTGACGCGGACGAGTAGTACGCCTAGGATTAGTATGGCAATCGCACAGTCCGTCAACAGGTGTCAAACGACTGCAGACTGGGTTGCGCGTGACATACCCAAGCTTTCTCTGGCAGCACGAGTTTCGCAACGTTTTCGAAGTCGTGCAAGTTAATGACGTTGTCGAGCGGAGGCCGGGCCTCCATGAGAGCAAGCCTGTGCTTCTCTTCGGCGGTTGCCTCCTTGACGACCTTGACGACCGTGCTCGAATCCACAGCGCCGAGGCTGAGCGAATTGTAGGCAACTCAAATCAGATGGGCTCTCAGACGGAAGCTGCCTGGACACGCACTGTTTTGACGGCGGTAGGTTGGTAGTGATAGCATCGGGCGGGTGGATAGGTTCGTAGGCTTCCCTGCATGATAGTGGTGCAGATCAGTGAAATTCGAAGCTGAGACAACAGAAGCTGGTAAAGCTCACGTTGCATCTTTCCCCGCATACTTCAAGATGATTTTACTTCCTCCGGGATGCTCTGCAGGCAAACTCTGTCAACATCCGGTCGGCTGTGGTGGTCAGATCAACGGAACGTACCGTCGAGGAAGTCCGTGACGTCGTATACCTTGCCTGCAAGAAAGGCCTATAGTCGCCTGAAGAACAATGCGGAGCGACGTCAGGACGTACCGTGGACGATTATCCAGCAGCTATCCCGGCTGGCGTGCTCAGCAACTTCGGGGCCCGTGAGGATGCGGATGCTCATCGTATGCGAAGACTCAGGCTGACAGGGAATAAAGGAGGCGTGCAGCAGGTTTGCGGCGACATGCGCACCAGCACTCCATTCTTTTCAACACGAAATACGGGAAAGGGGACTCCGCATGCATACACTGGGATAGAGGTCGGCGGAGACCCGCACCTAAGCCAAGAGACGCTTCGCACAGTTTTCCGGAGCGTCATGTCGAAAGGAAAGCCGGAGGTACAGCGCATCCTAACGCCTGGCATTGCTCTGGCATCCGTTGGCGAAGAAGGGAGGGGTAGGTTGAGCGGCGGGCATCCCTGTCACGCGGAGTTTAGGCGCATGTCCGCATGCCCCGTCGGACTCCTTCAGTCCCGGGCCGCAGGGAACTTCAGATGTCGTGTATGCACTGTAGAGTAAGCGCAGGGGGTTCCCACTGGGAGATCCCACCGTGATACTGGTGACATCACAGCGGTTTGCATATCGATGTGGCCTTCTGGAAAAAAACACGCTCAGGTTGGTTGACGAGACGCGAGTCCGATCCGCCACTCAAGACGCTGGAGGGCACTAGCGAGAGCTATTGAGGCGACTTGAAGTCCCTTCATTAGGCCCTGCTAGGCGACGCGCGTCGATCGGGCTACGCACTTCAGAATTCGGAAGTAGGGTAAGTTGATGGATGTAATGGATGGCAGCGAAGCTAGGTAAAGTTCCCCGGGTGAGCGTCCGTAAGATGCCACCTGGCAGCAGAATGTTGTGTCCAGGTCCTAGTCCGGCGATGTCGGAGCTGAGCCCTGAGGCCTGGGAAGCATGACTTGGAGCAGGTGATATCAAGCTAAGTACGCCGGTCCAGCTCCATACGTGGAACTGTATCCTTGTAAAGTCTGGAGAAGGAGGTGGTCATGAAGCAGAAAATATATAGGCGCCCATTCCTAATATGGCAAAAGCATCAGGGCATTGTGTTAAGTTTGTCTACTAACGTGAACGTCGCAATTGCTCTTGTCCACCACCACAGTCTCGGTATACCACGTCTCGGTTGGCCTCTGTCTCATGTCTTTTTTCGTGCTTTCGCTTCAGCGGAGTACTAGGCAACTGAACCTTCGCAATATCCTAGGCTACACCCGCCGGTCTCTCGTGAGAAGCTGATTCAGAACGACCTTGAAGTGAGTCATCAGGAAAAGTAAATATCCTCAAATGACGCGCCAGGAGAGCGTGACAGACTGCCAGGCCCTCAGGCAAGTACATACTTGCCTTACGTGTTAGGTTGCTGACGCTACTTACCCAGACGCTCAGCACTATGCAGCGGCGTTCGGATCACGCTAGTCTTCTGAACACCAGCTAGGATGGGCTCGGTTTGTCTTCAATATCATATCGAGTCATGTAATGACCTGTATGATACGTCGCGTGACCTGTCCTTATTTGCAGGCACGACCGTGCTCGAGGGTCTCATCCCACCGAACGCTACTTCTGCTCCTCCCGTGTTCCGCTGATTTGGAATCCACTCGAGACACCGAAAAAGTACACACGGGCTGCGCAAGACATCAGACTGCTCCTCCATCTTATTTATACATTTCTCTACCCCTGACCATCTCTTGGCTGCCCAGAATAGCGAAGAGACACTACGACCGCTCAATCTCCGTCTCCTTGCTCCCAGCAATAACTCATGTGCGGCGCCTTGACGTCCACTAAACGAGACCGGAAGGCTCCATGGATTCTGCGCAGTCGTGTACAGTTCAAGACGGAACTTACTCCCTCATGACAAGGAAATGGACGTGTCTTCGTTGCTGCTCGGGCGCATACATGCTTGGCTGCCCGCGGTCAGCACGCCAAGAGACTCGCATCCGTCGACACGCATTCCCATTCCGCGTGGGACGGTTCAAATGCCGGCTGTAGAGAAAAGCGGACCTAGTCTGCGTTGATACGCACGACAGAACCCTATCGCCGCACCAGTTCCCGCCCGCGTACTTCGGGATTTCTCTTTGCGCGCTGCCAACTTTTCAGCACCGCGTCGGTGCCTCAGACCCTTGCCCTCCCTCGGAGCTTATGGGAGTAGTCTACCTACCCGCAGTAGGACAATTAGTCGGGCAGTGCCAAGCATGCGTGAGACGCGTTATCGCCGGAGGAGGACCCGATGCGATCCCAGCTGGGCGTTCACGTCAAGCATCTGTCGGAGGAAGGAAGAAGCAGGAGACAGCGTCTCCGCCCTTGTATGCCATCGAGCAGGTGGTAGGTGGGGATACGCGAACTGTGAGCCCCGCTCAGGAATTTGCAAGTAGAGCGATTTGCCGTTTTCTGCCGCTTCGTGGCTTCATTTAAGAAGGCTTGGCTCGACAAGACATGATACTCCATCACCCTCTATCTCTTCTTCCTCAAACGCACATCCATCCCAGCCTACGAGCCCGTATTTTCAGCCATTCCGGTTTCTATAGCAGCTCTGTTAAGCCGACTTCCCATTATGCCCGGCCTCGATCTCTTCAGCTCTTCCTCTCCCGCCACCGCCAACACTATCGTGGAGGTGCCCGTCCCCTCCTCTGTCCCCGCTCCCCCCCTTGTTGAGGTCGAAGGGACCGAAAAGGCCACTGAGGCGGTTGTGATCCCGCGCAGCCTTGCCAGCCCTGCGGCATACTACAACCCCCGCCTCGACCCCAAGAATTTCCTTGAAGGTCCGCTGTCATGGAACCCTGCTACTCGCCTCCGCCAAATGCTCGCTCGCCCTGGTATTGTGGTGGGCACTTTCCCTATTCTGGATGCGTCCTCGTCGGCCTGATTTCTGTACGCGTCTGTTCAGGTTGCGCCGGGTATTTGCGACGGCATCAGCGCACGCTGTGCACTCGAGGCCGGGTTCGACTGCCTCTACCAGAGGTGCGATTTCCTCCGCGAATAGCGGATGAATGACTCTGTACTTACGACTGCCTTGCGGATATAGCGGTGCTGCAACGACGGCGTCTCGGCTTGGGCAGCCCGACTTGGCAATCGCAACCCTAAACGATTTCGTCCAGGTATGCTTTGAACGCTTCCTTACTTGAGAGGCCTCGTTGCTCATGACATGTGATGTCCAACAGAGCGCTCAAATGGTCTGCAGTCTCGACCCCACGACACCTGTCATCGCTGATGCCGACACCGGGTACGTATACGTGTCCGTAAATGCTACTCACGAAGTACTTTGTCTGACTGTTTGGGGGGCTCTTGGCAGGTTCGGCGGTCCCGCAATGGTCGCCCGCACTGTCACCCAATACGCGCGCGCAGGCGTTGCTGCACTGCATATAGAAGACCAGGTGCAGACGAAGCGCTGTGGGCACCTCCTTGGCAAGCAGGTCGTCTCTCGCGAAGAGTTCCTCACTCGCATCCGGGCGGCGGTGATTGCCCGAGACTCTATTCCTGGCGGGTCTGACTTCGTACGTCCCCATGCCTTCTCCCATCTACCGAGTCAGGCCCTTACCTGCTATGTGCGCTCATATAGGTGATCATCGGGCGCACAGATTCTGCGCAGGTCCTCGGTATGGAGGAGGCGCTGATCCGTCTGAGGCTCGCAGCCGATGCCGGCGCGGACGTGTGCTTCATCGAGGGCGTGCGCACCGCCGAGCTCCTCAAGTCTACCGTCGAGGCGCTCGCGCCTAAGCCTGTGCTCGTCAACGTGATATCTGGGGGTCTAACGCCCTCGTTCACGACGCACGAGGCCGAGGCGCTCGGCGCGAAGATCATCAGTAAGCTTCTTTCCTAAATCCCAGGACAAGAGGGGCAGGGTTGTTGATGAATGGTTGGTTGGACAGTCTTCTCGCTGGTGAGCTGCGTCGCGGCGGTGCACGGGATCCGCGCTGCGATGGCATCGCTCAAGAAGACAGGCACAGACTTCACTAGTGCGAAGGGCATGGACCCCAAGGCGTTCTTCGAGGTCATGGGTGCGTTTTTTTTTTGCCTCCCCATCCAAGCCCATACTATATCAAGACGTTTACCTGCCGCTGTCATAGGTCTGAGCGACATCGTCCAGCTCGATGCACAAGCCGGTGGCAAGGCATTCGAGAAGGTCTAATCACACCTGAACCTGACTCCCCTCTTGGCGCTCCGAGTCTGCAGTTCCTGAAGCTGAGGTCAGCTAGCTGCCGGATATTGATTGTTTTCGTTTCACTTTGGTTATCATGGTCGTCATATTGCTTACTGTATAGAGATGACTGTTTATGTACAGTCCACGCGTCCTGCAGCATAGTATCCCTCGCATCTTGTCCCACTAGACGATCAATCATACAAGTGTTGTTGTACTTATGGATATTTCCTCGACGAGAGCATAGGTTATCGTTTCCCAATCAAGGCACTTGAATTGGCTTGATTGAGCGATATCCGGCAAATCATGATAGGCTGTACCTGGATCGCCAACGGCTGCAGCTGGCATAGAGGCCTTGGGACGTGAAGCAGGCGACAAGAAGCTATCTGATTATATCTGCATTGACGAGGTGGCCATGAGGGGTAAGGACAGGGAGCGGTTTGTTCGATTTACGGAAAATGGGAAGCGATGCACAACGAGTCTGCTATAAGAGACAAGGAAGATACTGGATGCCAAAACTCGGAACGAAATCCGGAACTCAAAAGCAAATGAATGGCAGTCCGACTGACATCTCGTAACCGTCTCCAGGCTCCGCGCTTGATTCAGCTTTCGCGTTTACGCCTTCTGAATAATACCTTGCCATTGGGGTCGGGAAGGACGTGAGTAAGACCGTGGTACAGGTTCTTAGGCCGGGACCCGTCACCAGGAATCTTCAAGTCGTAGTGGAAGATGATGTACGCCATGATAGCTTTCATCTCGTTCGCAGCAAAGAATCGACCAGGGCTGCAAGCACAGAACGATGGATATCGTTTGCCCGTCATCTCACCTGAGAGAACGAGACGACGTACCAGGCGCGCTTGCCGTGCCCGAAGGCGACGAACTCGGTGGAGGTCTGTACGAACTGGTGTTTCATTCCCTCCCCCTCTTTCTCCCGCATACGGGAGAAGCGGAACGGGTCGAAGGTTTGCGCATCTGGGAAGTATTCCTCGTTGAGGTGCGTTGGAAGCTGAGGCCCTATGACCATAGTTCCTTTAGGAATCAAGGTGCCGTTGACGAGCACGACGTCCTTGACTGCTTTGCGAATCATCGTGGCTAAGAAGCGAGCAGACAATTGGTATACGCGAAAGATACTCTGGAGGAGATGGGGCAGACGTACTCAGTACAACGCCGTTTATCCGTTGAGACTCCTTCACGAAGCTGTCGAGCTTCCACATCTTGGCGAGCGCATTCTTGGTCCAGCCCTCTGTGGCAACGATCAAGTCAATCTCCTCCCGCAGAGGTTGAATGTACTCGGGCATAGAAGCGAGATCGTAGAGGGCGTGCGTCAGACTCTGCAGTCATTGTCGACGTCAGACAGCGAGCGATGACAAGGGGGAAGTGGAGTGCGCACGTTTCCCGTCGTGTGAATGGCACCAAAGTTGACGAAGAGGATCCTCATGACGACGCTGAAGTCGTCATAGCCCCTTGGGACAGCGTAATCAAGAATCCATTGAATGGTGTCATTCTAGTTGATCGAGACGGAAAGGGGGTGAGCTCGTTTCGTTGTGTATGCGGTCATAACATCCTCACCGGCTTGTCCGGCCAGTCGTCACCATTTTCCTTCATAAGCCTTCGTCGCTCAGCGAGAACATCCTTGAAGTAGGGCAGAGTGCGGCGAACGGATCTCTTGGCGCTGCTTGTGAATTTGCCCATGAATCTTGTCACGGGCCGTTTGAGTCTGCTAGTCAAAAACTAGGACGCTCTTTGAGAACTCACCGCTTGACAAAATCAGGAAGGAAGCCCAGGAGGAGCCTGTCCGAGTTGATGTCGATCGCAAAGTCGATCGCAATATCCAAGTACTCCTTCTCTCGACCTATGTCGTGACTAAGATCAGCGTGAAATGACAAGCCGCAGGCCTAATGTACTCACACAGAGGAGCCCCAACAAAGCTGCGGTTACTCAAACGGGCCACGATCTCCAGCATCGGCCTACAAATGCTGACTTCTACCCATTCTGTTTAGACGTATGCAATCAGCAATCCTACCCATAGGATGTGGCCTATGCGCTCATGCTCACCATCAGCGGTACCTGTAGGGATATATTCTGGAAGAGCGATAGAGAGCTCGTCAATGGCTTCCGGAACGATGACAGGCAGCATGTGCGTCAACTTGTCCCTGATGATGTCGTTATGGTACGGGTCGTCCATGATTTCCGGGCCCATCGTGAACCGGGTTTGCATGACCTAGGAGGGTCCAGCTTAGTCCACGACAGCGCGCACGGAGCCCGTTCGGTAGTCTGAGACGTACGTCCTCTATGCCTTTATAGAATGACAACTCGGACTCCCCGCGCTTCCTCAACTCGTCGAGCAACTTGCTTCCAGTAAGACACACCAACCATTGGTCGAGAAGAGCGACTTTGAAAACGGAGTTGTAGTACTAATGCATGACACGCTAATCAGCCCTGAGAGGGGACGGAGGTAAATTGCTCAGACACACACCCTCTTATAACCCTCTTCGAACAACGCTTTGCCATTTGAGTTGAATCTAAAGGCAGTTATGTATGAAAAGATGGGGAGAGAGGGCCCCCCGACGGTGGGGATGTTGTGGAGCTACATAGACGCAATTAGCCTGAGCCTTCTTCATAGGCCCCATGTGCGTCGAGTGTTGGATTAGCGCGAAAGACATACCGGATCCCTCTGCCATTTCATGATATACCACACGAGGAAGACTCCCAAGGACGCATAGCAAATAGTTTGAGGTTCAATTGACATGGACATAGTTGTCTTGTAGCTGTGAGTGCTCGAGAGTTTGAAAAGCAGAGGGGTTTGGTCAGGTAGTGGAAACGAGGAGGTTTTTGTGGTCTAGGTTATTGCGCCTGTATATATGCAGCAAGACCACATGTGGTCGTCCCAAGTGAGCCTAATGCCAAGCCGCGAAACGCGAGAGTCTCAGCTGATGTCATAAAATCGGGGCCCGTTTCAGATGCCACGGTTCCGTAGTCATTTCGTGACTCTAGCTCGGCAAGACAGCTTTCGAGGACAGGTTGAAACATGTAAGTCGTGAGCTTAGGGCTTACGGTCGATTCATGGCTGTGCACATCAGGAAAAACCCGAAACGCGAATTAGCACTAATTTAGAGATAATGCGCTAACGTACCCACTAATGACGCTATTGCAATGCTAATAGTGCGCTCGATCCATGCACGCGTCTTACGGTGTCGGGCCCGTAGGGCGCTTGATGGCCTCGCGCGTGCGGATTAGACCACGCAAGTCGAATTTGAATGATGCTCAATACAAGAGTTTGTACATATTACGATCTACGAAAGAGTTTACATAGAATGTAGGACATAAATCCAAGACATTACTACTCGTCCATGTCCGTGGTGCAACTGGTCCGAAGTCAGGGAATAAATGACAGCTTCGCTCTAGGCTATCTACTGGTATTATGCTTGCACGGCGTTCCTTATCTCGATTTAAGGCTCGTGAGATTTTGTAGAGACCATGGTCAGCATGAGGTGATGTGAACGCAGTGAACCACTCGACATAAGCTAGGTGACGAGGTCGCTCTGGGACTGG